AGAGCACGTGCGTCCGCGTAAACTAACTGTTCTTCCCACCTTCAATATTCTTCATAAAAGTCCCGCGAGGTATGGTTTTCTTTTCGGAAATGATTGACAAAACTAGATTAACTCCGGAATAAAAAGTTTCCAGTGTGAAGTTACAGTTTTTGGCAGAGGTACGAGAACCCTTAATTTGAAAAAAAAAAAAAAAAAAACAATTCTGTTCCGACTGACTACGCATGTTGTTTAAAGGAAGCAGAAGGAGAAAAACAGCTCTGTATAATGGTACGTTCTTGTTAACACAAATATGACATCTTGGACGCGTCTGTTATTTGATAGCTCGTCAGGAAATAAAATTACGGAAATATTAATTTGCTTGTAAATAGCACACAACCCGCTCCTTTGCTAGTTGACAAGGCTGCTGTGTCTGGTATGGTTCCGCTTAGATTGTGTAGATAACTACAACCATTTATATATAGATTAATGTATAAGTGTCTCTAGGGAGAGATGCCAGTCTTATTGGCTATGATATGTATGTATAGCCAGGCGAAAGGAAATGTATTTAATCAGCTTCTCTTGATAAAGTTCTTTCGTCTGAATAACTCTCATTGGCTCTACTTTGGACGCCAATTTTTCTTAATTAACAATATTCCATTTAATTTTCCAAATCTTGTACAAAATATGAACCTCTGTTACCGACGCTCCCTTTCTGTCTCTCCACACATCTGCCGTATGGGCCTGACGAGTGAACAATTAATTCACGTCTTGAAAAGAACGCTAATGATATCGGCACTCTCTTGCGGAAAATAAAGGTTCCATGCCTTTAAGGGATATTTTTTATTACCTCTTTCTCGACTAATCAGTCGAACAAATCGGCGGTCGGTATACCGTAAACTAGATGTGTTCCTGTTTAGGAGTTATAATTCAAGAGAAATCTCGCAGACGCGTCATGAGTGGCTCAAAAATACCCGAGGACACTTACACTGTATCGCTCCGCTGATTCCTGTTGTATTTATAAGAACGTGGTCTTTTTGTAAGTCTTTATTAAGATCAACAATGAACACAGTCTGAAAATACATAAATGAGAAATACTCAGATATTTACCAAATGACGTGTTGTTCCGATGATAAACATAATTAACATTTGAAACGAGACAAAAGAATAATTGACACAGTACATTAATGAACTATAAGTAAATGTAGTCAATGTAGTAACTTAATAACTGAGTATCAATGATTACTTACAAATAGTATGCTCTAAACAGGCTAGTGTTAGTGTTTCCTCAAATGGCGACCTTCCATCAAAGGGGAGTAACTCTGAAATGCCTCGACTATAAAGGGAAGTAAATATGTAATTACCATTGTCAATAAATAATAATCATGTAGTATTACAAAGCCATTATTCATACAAAGATCGAGAAGTTTGTTATCTGAGGAAAGTACAAGACAGCAGTCGATATCGTACAGGTTTTATGTTATTCGAGAATTAGTGTCTGTTAAGGTGCATCATACTCCATCTTCGATATCCATGGGTTAGCTCATTTTCGCTCACTGCACCGCTGGAATATGTCATAGCAAAATTGAAGAATCAGTGTGCGCAACCTTGTTGATGAGACAAGAAGACACTATCGATCCTTTGATATACATCAAAAGAATATCACGGTCACGTGACGGTAAAAATTGACAGGCTTTGAAGTCGGGCGTCTCTCCTTTGTAATCTTCAAAGGACAGGTATCAGACTAGCGATTGGTCAGTTTCTTTTACCTGAGACCAATCAAACAGCTATCTTCGTGCTTTCAATTTTGCTATGACATATTCCAGGGGTACAGAGAGCGAAAATGAGCGTAACTTACCCCTGGATATCGAGGATGGTCGTACTTTGTACCATTTATCCTTGCTGTACGAGGTTGGATTGGCATTAAGTCAAACTATGCAAATATTTTACTCCACCAAAGTATTCTGTACTGAGGAAGCAAATATGGTTAACGCCGCTAAGTACATGTTTAAAATAAGATTTTAAGGACGTTGAAATTGTACTGTTGTATCATTTAAAGTCATTGCATCGTTGTATGAAAAGATCGTTTGAAAACATTTCGCCAAAAATTACCAAGTCGCAGCAGCCTTTCGAACATATGGTAGACAATAAAGCATAAAATAACAATAACAATAATAATTTTTAGGTTTTTATATACCACTTCATCACAATCTAGTTCGTAGGTCGTCTCAAAGCGGTTCACAAATAATTATCCGTGGTTATAGGGCCTTTGCAACCAGTCAATATCTTTCTCAACTCCCTGGAGAGCATACAGCCGGTGCTGCCATTTCGGCGCTCACAGCTAGCATTCAACAATTCTTGCACTGCACAATCAGGTACTCATTTACAGCTGAGTAGACTGGAACAAGCGGAGTAAAGTACATTGTGTATCTTGCTCAAAGGTTCAACACAGTGCCGTGCTGTGACTCGAACCCGCAACCCTTCGGTCACGAGCCCGGCGTCCTATCACTAGACAACCGTGTCTCCAAAGACAGTGTAACACATTACCTTGCAACTTCTTAACACATTTATGATATGAAATGTTTAATTTGTTTATTTGTTTGTTTGTTTGTTTGTGTTTACGACCCGGGAATGATGGGTAACGTTTTGCATGAAATATAAAACAATTTTTGGTTTGTGATAAAAGAAAGGCCACATTTACGTGCTCATCTAACGTCTCAGCTTACACTCATTGACTGCAAAAAGATAGATATTTCATTCGTGAGATATATCCATGCGCGCAATGCACTCTTGCGATCTGAAAAGTCAGTTGAACACCTATATAATTATGTGGCACTACAATTGCATTCCCAAATGAATAGAAGGTTGGCATTTTTCGTATTCAACAGAGAGTGTAGAATTATGTTTCCATATAGTTACATGTACGGTTCATTGAGAGCTTGGACGTTTTTAAATTCGTACATATGTGACATTTTTATTAAGCAAACTTTCCACTGACTTTGTATAATATGTGCCGAAAGAGGATTTGATTATGTGTTATTGTATTGACATCAACTAATGTTTCAAGTTTGTTCCGAGAAGATAGAATCTCTTTCCCGTGACGTCACTTCCGCTCTTCTAATTTACGTAGACTTTCAATACACACTTTAGTTGTATATATTACAGTATTTCCCAGTTGAGAAGATCCTGGTGAAGCTTTTAATGTTGCAATAATGCGGGATATTACAAAAAGTCATGGCTTTCCGAATAATTGTTGAAGACATTGTTTTTTCCACCGAAAGCCGATGTCGCCATTTCCAGTTTACTCCCAAATAAAAGCTCTGTTTTATTATAAATATTGTCCCTTTATTCTCAAAAGCCCAAGAGTCACTGTCAGTTATGGTAAACGTGTATCGGAACCGTTTATGTGCCTTGAAGCTTTTAGTTTCAATATTTCTAAATCATTTATTGTTCTATTTATTCCGCCCTGTCGTTCACTTCGATAGAATAGAAAGATGGTATTTTTATGTATTCAACAGGGAATGTAGAATTATATGTTTCCATATAGTTACGGTTCATTGAGAGCTTGTACAATGAATGAATGAATAAATGAATGAATGAGTGAGTGCGTAATGAATGAATGAATGAATGAATGAGGGAGTGCGTAATGAATGAATAAATGAGTGAACGAGTGAATGAATGAGTTAATGAGTTAATGAGTTAATGAATAAATAAATGAACGATTAAGTGAGTGAGTTAGTGAGTGAGTCAGTGAGTCAGTAATTCAGTCAGTCAGTCAGTCAACCAATGCCGATAAGGATACATTTAAATCTGTTTAAAAAATATGCCAAAATAACGTCTCTTCGCGCATAAAGCAATTTACCAAAATCTTCAAAAACAGATGATATCTTCATTTTATTGCCGAAAGCCCCTTTGAGCCCAATAAAAACGTACCTTATATTAGAATGGTGTTCCGGAACATATGTAGACTGTCTGTAAAGGTGTAGCGCAGTTAAATTAAAAAAAAACCATTGTGATATTCTCTCTACGTGATAACAAACGAAAAAACTACATATTATATATATATTGCATATTATACATATTTTACTTTATTGTCCGGATTGTTTATAATTTCCTATGCACAAAACGCATGTCTTGAATGTATTATACACACATCACGTGACCACCCTTGTCAACAACATTCTATACTTACAAACGTCTCCAAATACCAGTATTATTGCTGTGACAATAAACACCAGAAAACATTGATGTTAATTCAACATAAGAAACCTCTCCTGTAAAATTAAAATATAGGTGGGAGGGAATGAAGAGACTTAAAGCTAAATACTATTTCAAGTTTTACGCTTGACTTTTTGATCGTTTGACATGACTTAAGTGAGTTACAAGAAAGTTGTTTTGAGTACAAAGTCAATGCTTGAACATGAGAAAGCTTTCATGAATACGGGCCCAGTCCTTTTTCTATCACATGTCGTACAAATATATATATGGAATGTCATTCTTTAAAAAGGGTCTCAAACGATATTTCTAATTGTGATGAAGATATAAACCGCTGAGGTTTTCATTTACGTATCCCATTAAGTATCACCTTTCAATGTGCATTCAACATTCTGAAATGTCATAAGTTATCAAAAAAACGTTTTTATCTGACATTTACTATGCATATCGTCAATGAAACGATCACAACGGAGCAGCAAGCCAGCAATATGAGTCAATTGAGCGATTGACTCAAAGCTATTTACTGTGTTATTTGAAGCGGACTGCCAAGCGTCACATTGACAAATATCAAAATGGTGGCATAAACAGATCCACGTATTAATATGTTGTATTCATCGTTCTACGAAAGTTATTTCCATTTGTTAGGAAAAGAATTTGTATGAACATACGAATATGCAGGAGGCCACACATTTGCCGAACTACAAAACTGCGGCTTTACCACTTTGAATGGTGATATGGAGCGACCCAAAAAGGAAGAATCTACCTCTGATAAGATTTTTTTTGTGTTTAAAATATGAATGATGTAGCTATCTAGTTGCGTCATAAAGTCATTATTTGTGGGAGTTTTTAACTGCAGCGAGTTTACTTTACAAATGACGCTCCATAATCGGACGAAAACGTTCAGAAATCGTCATTGCATGAAACCAATATTCAAAGAGTCATGAATTCATTGCTAGTCGTCAGAAATGGCGAAGTCTTGTAGTAAACTCTATATTCACAATTCAATGTCAACACATGATAAACGGTCAGTGCCCATTGATTCTAATGAGGTTATTGACCAATAAAAGTTGTATTGTTGCGGAAATGACGTCATATTTGTAGTTCCTCCGTTGTCGTGTCAGGATCATATGCCAGTTCCGTTGCTATGGAGTTTGTACTGGCACATTCCTCCTTTCGCTGTAGGCTGTATACTTTCTGTCTCAACGAAAATTTAAAGTTTACGAATTGTTTGGACGAATCTTTGGTATATTCGAAAGTAAATCCTCCGAGCATTCCGCCAAGTATCGGGCCCACCCAATAAACCTGTAACAATATAAATTAAAATTTGAATATTTACAATCGGCATTTGTTTTGGTATTTTCATATTTTTGCTTATAAATCTGCATGTTCTCCATCATAGAGCTCATATTAAATATGCGCATGTTCAAATCCGTTAATAAATGTATACAGCGATGTTATAATCTCTTCAAATACAACATAATGTATACTTAAGTAACAGTCTACGTATGTGCGTGTATCATGGTAGAATACATGTATATAACGAGAGTGAGGTTTGGTTTGATTGGTTTGGTTTAATTTTCTTTAACGTCCTATTAACAGCTAAGGTGATTTAAGGCCGTGCCTCGATGTGTGTAGTGTATGCGTGCTTGCGTGTGTGTATGCATGAGACAGTGTATGTTGGTGTGATTGCCTCCTTGCGACAGCGCGGATCCGATGCCGACTTTATAGTGCTATCTCACTGAAATACTGTTGTGAAAATGCACTATAAAGTGGCCGAACCGACTTGTCTGTATGCTCAGCGAGCAAGTCGACTCGCCCGAATGTGTTGAGCTGCCGTGCGTGACAATATCGAATGTAGTCTACACTTTGTCAAGCCGCTATACGGACGTATTTCGCGTACTGTTGGTGCAGGATAATCTTATAACTCGCATTCATATTACTTGTAGCTTCTTACTACAATACCATGCCGAAGCCACCCAACACAGCATTCCGCCCGGTAGAAATGTTGGAAAAAAAATAACAAATGCCGCTTACGGCCCAAGTTTAATATTTTCCTAACATTTTCGAATCCCTATTATATTTTAATCATAAAATACAAACAGTTGCTGATTGTATCTATTCTTCCTAGTAATATGGAAATAAGGTCTTTTTCACGTTTACCTCAGTGTCCATACACCCATGATAAGCAAGGTGCCCAAAATAATCTAATTATCTAAATAAGCTGTTCTTTTACGTGTGCAAACATTTATTTACTCGTGACTTATGCAAATTATGAAATAGAGAATAATTACAGCTTAGAAATGAAATTTTGTCATTGAAATGGACCAGTTCGCCAGTTTATTTTAAAATATCCTGTCGTTTATAAGGCCATATTTAACGAGGTTTCTGTAAATAATATTACAATGTAAAATGATACTTCATTTGTTCTTTTAATACTATAATGTCACTCATAAATTGCGGTATGATCTCATAAGAGGATCCTGCCATTACGGAGTTGGATCCGGCATGGTACGAAATTGGTTCAGGGCAAGGTCATTTTGTGTTTCATCTTAGCGTTGGATATGTACAAATCTTAACTTTTGAGAAGGATATTGCGTCTCCTCCCTAAAACCATACGAGTACTTCGTGACACTATCTTTTGTTCTTGTACCATTGATGATATTAATATTATCAAAATCTAATTCCGGACGTTGCAATGAAATTGACATCATTTGCGATTGTGTCGTCATGCCTTATTGTGCAAGGGGTGGAAAAGGAGTGTCAAAATAATGTTGTAGTTTTTTTGTGCAAGTAAACACTGTAGAAATGTGAGAAATATATTAAATAATTATGATCGATTGATTTATTGCAGGACGTTGCAACATCCCGATATTAATTCTGACTCACGACTCGATTCAAATTTGTAACAGCATCATGTCGCTCCCCGGTTTAGAATAATTGACATCGACCGTCAACAGGTAAATATATCAATAGCACGTTTACAAGAACAATTCAAATGATCAATTAAGTGCAATCTGCCACAGCGACTACGTTATTGTTAAGATATGATAATGTATAGGCTTTGGTAGTATGTGGAATAAAGGCGTATTTATATAAACCTTGTTGAATCGGTTGGCTTCGATATAGAAACACAGAAATGAAAACCAATACACCCGTGCACAACAATCAATAAAATCTCAGCGGTATTCCAAATTCAATTAAGTGCATTAGGTTATTCTGACGGTATTATTTACAAATAATTGAAATGATATTATTCATGCATTGAAGAATTGTTTTCACGCTCCGATAGATTGAAAACTACGCGAAACAATGCGAATGTTGTGCAAATAAATTACCACTTGGATAATGTTTAAACTGCTGGGTTTGCGCGAACAAAAAGCAGTTCCGGGGCTTTGGTTTATTAGGAAAAAATCGAAGAATTGGATTTGAGTATTTGTTATGCAAACAAAGAAAATAAAAAAAACCTAATTGTTCATATGTGTATTTTCACTCGCACAAGAGCGCACAAACGCACGCATATTAAGCATGTAGCTGCTTACACATGGCATTCACAGGCAATATGAATGCCATCTGGACCAAGGCAAAGTCAATGCAGCGTGTCAGCGCTTTATGCTGGACTTTCCTTTTCCCATTTGACATTAATATTACCTATGAATAATAATAAATACAGCTCAAACTTACATTTATCATTTGATATTATGATTCCGTTTTGTGAGTTGTTCCTACAGTGTATAATTGTTATCTAAATTCTTTGTAAACTTTTTTGAACAGTCAAAAGCCAAACTGGAAACAACGGTGATCGCGTCAACAATCTACCCATGGCGTTCAAAGCTGATATGAATGCCTCGACTTTTCAGAGATGTATAGTGGTACATGTAATGATGTGATAAATTGAAGACAATCACGGATTGCATGTACCCCCATACACATATATGATTGTTTATCAGGAGAAAGAGAAACGCAACGGCCAGACCGGGATTCGAGCCCGGGACCCTCCGAACTCTAGACGGATGCTCTACTAGTCGCCGACGACCGACCCAGACCAGTTCTACTACAATTGTATCTAAACACTAATTTCCAGCAATTATTATATGTCCTTCCCTGAAAAAGGTGAGATGAAATTACATTTTGCTTTTTTGACACAAATTTTCCATGACATCACCAGCTTTGGTCTTTAAATGTTTAATTACAACTTTCGATTTCAAGACAATCGTAATCGGAATGTTTTGGTATTTAGCTAAAGGAAATGTACATTTAATTTGAAAAATGCCAAGCATTTAAACAGGAAATTGTTGGCTAAAAACTGTCATGTGTTGTTATTGAACCGTTTCCTTCAGGAAAGGAATGTTTAAACGAACCATTGATGAATGGGGGCGACATCAATGTAGGATTACCAACGGATGATTACGTGGTGTTAACAGAGTATTTGGTTATTCGTGTCAAGCAAATTGAGAAGGGGGAGCGGTGAAGGAGGTGAATGAGAAATCAATCGATTTGGATGAGGAGGGGGAGGGAAGGAGGGGTTAGAGGGGAGGAGGAGGAGGAGGAACATGGCCGCGACATCGAGCGTTAACAAGAGACACGGTGATTTCTCATTTATGCCTGGGGTTTCTCACATTAGTCGCCTCGTACGATACATGCAGTGGGTAACAGCAGGTGTATTCTTCTTGATCCCCGGCCTGGAGGGAAGAGTTTCGTTTATGAAACTATTAACAAAGCTGACTTTTTGGTGGTAAAAAGTATCTGCCTTATACACTGCATGTATTAACTCATTCACCTCTGAAGACACATTTGAACTCTTCCAATTCAAAGGTTGGACTAGATCATTATGAAATTTCAGGGGTGAACGAACGAGTTAATGACGTCTGATCTCTGCGGAGAGGTTCAACATAAGTACAATCTGGATAAGCAATACAGTTATTTCGACTCTTTACTGTGTTCAAACGTTCTGAAAGACTTATGTGTGACTTGTGACGACCGGTGTGGCCTGTGTTTCCTGTCTCAAAATTCGTATGAAAAACGAATAAATTAAAACAAGGTAACATATCACTGTCTGTTTAACTTTAATGAAAATAGTTTTAGTATGAGTTTCACTTACATTCTAAAACTGTACATAGATTAACTCCTAAAGTATTTTATAGTACGAAACTTTCACTGTGAATTATTTGTTTTCAAGTTGGTTTGGTTTTAGTTTGTTTATGTTTTACGTCCTAGTAACAGCTATGGTCATTTAAGGACGTGCCAGTTTTGGTGGTAGAGGAAAGCCGGAGTTCCTGGAGAAAAACCACCGATCTACCACCAGTACCTGGCGACTGCCCCACGTAGGTATCGAACCCGCGACCCAGTGGTGGAGGGTTTGTGGTAGCAGAATGTCAGACTCCTTAATCACTTGGCCACCATTGGGAATGCGAAGATCACAACTGCGAATTCAGGCATATTTAAATTACATTATATTATATGAACAAAATAATTTGTATTGTTGTAACCCAACCTGTAAATGCCATTACCTATCTATTTTTGTCGGCATTTCCGGTGGCGTTGTAGCGCTGGAACATAGTAAAAGGGAAGTCGGAGCTACGCCGGATTTATGCATTACACTTTATAAACGGTAAATCATTGATGATGACGTGATATACCTACCCAGTGGTCCGTCCAAATGTTCATGATGAGGGCGGGACCCAGTGACCGAGCGGGATTGATGCTAGCCCCTGTATATCTTATCTGTTGAAATATAATAAGGACAAAAGGTCAAACAGTTGCAAAATAAGAACACTGTCAAAGTTAAAACGCACTATAATATCGCAATACACCACAATACACTGATATTACAATACACCACAATATATTGAGATTACAATACACCACATTTAACTAAGATTACAATACACTACAATACACTAAGATTACAATATATTGAGATTACAATACACCACAATACACTGAGATTACAATACACAACAATACAATAAGATTACGATACATCACAATACACTGAGATTGCAATACACCACAATATACTAAGATAACAATACACCACAATACACTAAGATATTAATATATTGAGATTACAATACACCACAATACACTGAGATTATAATGCACCACAATACATTAAGAGCACAATATACCACAATACATTAAGCTTACAATACACAACAACACACTAAGATTACAATACACCGAAATACACTAAGATTACACTACACCACAATACACTAAAATCACACTACATTGAGATTACAATACACCACAATACACTGAGATTACAATACACCACAATACACTAAGAGCACAATATACCACAATACACTAAGATTACAATACACAACAACACACTAAGATTACAATACACTACAATACACTAAGATTACAATACACCGAAATACACTGAGATTACAATACACCACAATACACTGAGATTACAATACACCACAATACACTAAGAGTACAATATACCACAATACACTAAGATTACAATACACAACAACACACTAAGATTACAATACACTAAGATTACAATACACCGAAATACACTAAGATTACAATACACCACAATACAATGAGATTACAATACACCACAATACACTGAGATTACAATACACCACAATACACTAAGATTACAATACACCACAATACACTAAAATTACACTACATTGAGATTACAATACACCGAAATACACTAAGATTACAATACACCACAATACATTGAGATTACAATACACCACAATACACTGAGATTACAATACACCACATTACACTAAGATTACAATACACCACAATACACTGAGATTACAATACACCACAATACACTAAGAGTACAATAAACCACAATACACTGAGATTACAATACACCACAATACACTAAGATTGCAATACACCACAATACACTAAGATTACAATACACCACAATACACTAAGATCGCAATACACCTTATATATATATATGAACCTGAGAATGTGAGATTGACAGAGACGAAATCGAAGTTAATGTCACTTTTTCAGGTCCATATAACCACATCGTCTTGGTTAATGTATTTTTTTTCTAATCCATATAACTACATATTCACCGAATTGAAAGTCTTCACTGTTATACAAATGTAGTAGATGCTAAGTAATGTTTAAATCGTTAAAAGAAGGATAACATTTATGGAAATTGTACAGAGGAAAGTACTGCATTTGTCAGAGAGTATTGTGACGTTACAATTGAACTGACGTCACAATTTGAATATTGACTTGCTGCTTCTAGAAAAAAGTATGTTCGCGTCATTTATATAAGCACTCTGCGTATGCCAAGCTCTTCATATTACAAATAAATTTAAGCCGACAGCTCACACCGGGATGGCAGTATTTAAAAAATAGATACGTGTTCAATCCGGATATTTACACTATGAAAGAAATAGCCACAAGTGATGGATTTAAAGAACTTGTTCGTAGATAATTAATGTGTATTGTGTTTGCTTATTGTCGATGTAATATATTGAATGCGCAACACTTAAAAAAGCCTCGTCATTTCATCGACGCAACGTTGCATGCGGCGAAGCGTCAAACATCAAATTGAGTGATATTGTTTTATATATATGTTATAACTGATAAGTCAACCGACTTAAAATAATAAAGAACTTGAACTTTGCATTAAAAACGCGATCAAGCATTAACGCACTACATGCCACATTTATGTAACCGAACGTCATTCATGATTTCATGAACGCAAATTGAATGCAGTTCAATGTTAAATAATGTAATTTGGTAAAATAGGTTCGTTGATTGAGTAAATAAAAGCTAATAAAATTCAAATGTTATTGTATTATGCAATGCGGAGTGTGCCGGGGATTCAGTTGTTCAGGGTTATATACGCATTGACAACTTGTTGCCGACACGTCTGGAATATAATTGGTAAATAATTGCTGAAAAGAAATCCTTATCTTGCGGATCTTTCTATGAAACAATAATAAAGATAAAAACACATTTTTTTCTGAATTCATAACTGATACGGGATCAGACCAGGGACTGCCTTCATTTAACCCTTCCCTGCTTTATCATGGATCGTGTGGTCCAATCAACTTGCTTGTTACTCGCTTAAATCACGCGATACGGGCATTCAGTCAAGTGTACACATTTAAAACAGTTTTCGGCTTTAATCTTCAATTTTTTTCCCTAATCAAATTAATAAAACGTATGTTTTTTTAATTAGTTTATCGTCGGAAACATAAATTAGGCTTAGACGCATACTCTAAGCTCGAGCGCGAACACGGTCTCATGAATATGGGCAAGGATTCGAATTCGGATTAAGGGGAGACTACTGTGTGCACGAAAACAAACCAGGAACTCTCTAGTGTTTTGGACACACAGTAACATCACTGATAATTCTTCTGGTTTTGGCTACTATGTTGAAATCACTGAAAGTATATTTGAGGAACGAGTTGTGAGACGCCATGTTTGATGATAAATATACATTCTGAGTGGATCAATGGAAATTATCTGATAGAAAAGCAACAGGAGCATATAGATACTATTCTTCATTGAGTTGGTTCCGGTAAATGTTTTCCAAACGATATAATAATAAGTATAATGCCCTTATCGTTTTTTGTCGATGTCGCTATTATCCCTTTGTTTGACACAATAATCTAATGTTTCCATTTTCCTTATAAATTGATTAGGCCTTCAATGTTTTTCAATTATACATAGTTAGATTATCGGCGGAATGAAAGAAGTTGACCGATATTAGAAAAACACAAAAATACGTTACTCGTGTAAGGTTTGCTTCATTGTGAGTGTTTACAGTTATCGACTTTCGTGTTTCGAGTTTCTGCCGTAAAAGTGTCAAAGCCTAACACAAGACAGGTTTTACTCGCATGGCGGTGTTAGAGGCGGTAATCGAATTGTCGCGCGCTATCTAGAAAGAGAAGCAATAATTACACCTCACATTACGTCTATTACAGAGACAGAGACATCCTCTCGTGAGACTAGAAAAAACTGTAAACACCATGTGAAGTACACTTACTAGATATAGACTGAAGTTCAAACACTATACACTACATGTACTCTTACAAATGAAATTTAAGGATCCCCGTACTAAAGCTAAAAACTACAACTACACATTAGAAACGCATTTTTTCCCGGCATGACTATAGCTTTGATAAATCATTTGTGAAAAAAACTAACCCTGCTGGACTTTTATGAAAAAAATAAAGAATAATGAAAAAAATAATTAAAATGAACTAAGCAAAATATAATTAACAACAGCGTTCAGAGCGTAAAAATTCAGCGTTACTATACCTAGATTCGAACCCTGAACTACCCGGTCAACGGAAGTGTCCTGGCCAAACACTGCTTCAGTTATATCTTAAAGGAGCACAAGGGACGCAATGTGACTGTGTATACAGAAAATCACAGTGCAGTGGAACAGGGATCCTTAATTTAAAAGTACGGCTACTCTGTTTGCAAAATTGCTTCTCAAACATTGCACACTTTCGAATGGTGTTCAAAAACCACAATGAAGGCATTTTCGTGAAAACAACCAACTAACTAATAGACTATTGACTTATAATTTTGCAAACAATAAAGTTAAAATATAAAACTTGATATTTAATCAAGTATATTTTTGTGAACGTTGTATAAAAAATACTAATTACATATATAGATACACATTTTATATGTAATTTAGTGTTTTAAGTCCTTTCCGGATATGCACAACCGCCACTCATAAACAATTAGTATCGCCACATGAAAACGTTCCGGAATCCGGCACCCGCCATACCCATCTTTGTTTATACTAGTATACCGCAAGTGTTAATAGCCACTAACCCTGTACTGACAACTTTTGAAATATTGGATTTCCGTCAAATGATACATTTTTTTTATAAATGGTTGAAGCATCATCAGCAAACATAGTTAACAATTAATATTTATTTAACATTTTTATAAACAATGAACTTTTTTATCAGACATGACTTGTGTCCAACTCCCATTGTATATAAATTACAATAAAATATGTTTGCAACAAAAGATCACACTCAAAACACTGAATCTCTGTCAGACAATTTAAAAAGAGGTTTATCAATAATGAACCTCAACCTGAAAATTATGTAATCAGCGGACATCTTTCAGAAGTCAATATTAATTGATAACATCTCTTCGAAAAAAAACATCATGTCATAAACTCTATATTGTCGCTCAAATTTGCTTAATTTTGCATCACGTACCATTGAGAACATTTAACATCAATTGATTATTCATATGCCATGCATGCAATATTAATACGAATAAAGAATGCAGCTTGTATTTCTGTAGTCATCAAACACCATACATGGGTTCCTGTACGCCAAACGAAAGTTATGGTCACTGAACACCATACATGGGGCCCTCTACGTCAAACGAAAGTTTAAGTCATCAAACACCATACAAGGGGCCCTCTGCGTCAAACGAAAGCTTAAGTCACCAACCACTATGCATGGGGGCTTCTGCGGCAAACAAACGCTTAAGTCACCAACCACTATACATGGGGGCTTATGCGGCAAACAAACGCTTAAGTCACCAACCACTATAAATGGGGTCTTATGCGGCAAACAAACGCTTAAGTCACCAACCACTATGCATGGGTGCTTCTGCGGCAAACAAACGCTTAATTCACCAACCACTATAAATGGGGGCTTATGCGGCAAACAAACGCTTAAGTCACCAACCACTATGCATGGGGGCTTCTGCGGCAAACAAACGCTTTA